TCATTTACCATTGAGTTCAATGGAATTTGACGCGTTCGGATGTAAATATTTTGTAATTACGTCGTAAATATACATATAAATGTATATATTTTCTTTTTCTACAACGCTTCGAAGTCCTAAGTATATGAAAACAACATATTTTTAAACAGCATTTCATTCTGAACGGAATTAAATGCTGTACTTTTCACAGGACAGTTTTCTCAGAATGGTTTAATTTGAATGAAATATTTTCACAAGTTTTCGTTAATTACATTAGAAAAAAAATTAAGGTAATTCGATTTTATTCGGTTAAGGTACACAAATTAAGATCAAAGTTTATTGTATTATTAATATTAAATTTATGCATTATTTCTTTTCTATTTATAGAGCTTCTTCCTAAAATACTTTCTTAAATATGACATGATTTTTTGGCTTCTGAGGCATCTTTTAAATCGAAAAATGTAAGTCAATTTTTAATTAATGCTCTATTCGGGTTATTTTAAATTAGAGGATTATTAGGAATTAGCGAAATACTTTAAATAGTACTTGACTTTCTCTGAAAATTTCTGAAAGGGAATAAAGTAAGTTCTTTTTTAAAGTATTATTTAAAACTTGTAACTGAGTAATTATAAAATGTAAGGGGAATAATTCTTTTAATTATACTTATCAGATTTTTTTTTACCCTTCATTTCAACAATACATATTACGAAACTCTTTATTACGTTCTTAAGTGCGCATCTCATAGCATTTGCTTTACAATACCTTTTAACAGATTGCTTTCCAATACAAACAATTCTTGCTTAAACAGTTTTATAACGTATTTGTCAACAGGATTTCAATTGTTTACAATTCAATATTAAGGTTATTATATATTTAGATAACATTTATAATCATTATAAGTTAGATACATTTAATAATTAGATTTCTTCACAGTACTTTCACAGTTGTTTATAAGTGAATAAATTCTTCATTTTAAATACATTTATAAATAATTTAATGAATATTTATGTATTTTGTCAAAGGTAGATACATGCTTTTTGCAAGCACATGCATAAATACCCATACATATTTCCTATTTTTCATTTCCGGCATGTGCAAATCTTTAATTTCTGTGCATTCACTATATTTTTCGTTTAAAGTAATTTACACTAATTTAGCATACACCCGAAAGTTTTACATAAAAAATGGATGTGAAAAAATTAGTTTTATTTAAAACATTTTGGCGTTTGGAAAATAAAATAAAAGTAGCGAATACTCTATAAAGGGTATCGAAAGGCGTATACAATTTTAAAGGTACCGTAAGGTATTTTTCATTCTTTAAGCATAATATTTTTCTTAAAATCTATATTTTTGTATTTCAACAGCTTAGAATTTTATAAAACAAATTCATAATCAAAATCGCTGTTGTTAGTTACCGAAAAATAACCAAGATGTGATTTTTGCGTAAATGTCACTAAACTATACAAATTGCTATTATCCATCACACTATGAATGTTTCTTTCATGCAAAAGTGTCCCTTTTTCGATTTGTATGGAACTGTCGTGTGTCGAAATACTATCAGAACCCTGTCAAGCGAGTTTCTGAATGTAAACAAAGAACACCCCATCTGGTGACCCAAGCTTCAAAGCAGTGCTTCACTTCTAGTGCCGGTTGTCCCCTCCTTCCTTTCCTACCTCCATGGCGGCAAAGTAAGCAATTCACGTCGTGCTATTTATAACCGACATTCTAAACGGGCCCAGGGTGTGGTTACCCTTATCACGTTTCCTCCCCCCTCAGACGCAAGGCTCGTCTTTGCGGGAATTTGTACAAAAAGGCTGATATATGCGGGAAGTGAAACTGACATCATACACCGCCATTTATAGATATGTAGGAATATAAAAAAGATGTGAGATCGAAAAGTAATCATTAAACAAACTTTAAAGTAATTTAACGTTATAATGGAAAATGAAAAAATATATGCTAAAGAGATTTCCGAGATCGAATCCACAGAGATAATTGTTAGTATCCACAGAGATAATTCTCAGTATCCACAGATATAATTGTTAGTAGTGATAACGAGACAGGAAGTGACGTAGTAACGCTATTTACACGCGGGAAATAAAATTCAGATAATATATGACAGCGAATCTAGTCCCAGTAACTACAAGCCAGATAGCCAGTGGGCAAAATACGATCCAAAAAGAAACTTAGAAATGTTTACGGGAAATTCAGTTGTCAAGATAAATAAAAATAATCTTTAGTATAAGTGAAATTGTCGGACCAGTTATTGAAGATGATTTTATAGAAATGTTCGCTAACGAAACTTATATATACAGGGATGAGATGCACCGCAGATTGAAATGTGCGAAGAAATTAACAAAGCAGTACAATACTACAGTTTGTAAGCTGAAAACATTTTTGCATTCAATATTTTAGTGGGAGAGGGGTAGGGAACTATAGTGCATGATTATTGATCAACTCGTCCGTCAATCGCGAATCCTTCCTTTGCAAAAATCATGACAAGGCATAGATTCCTTCAAATTTCGCGTTTTTTGTCCATTTAAAATAATACAGAAATACTGCCAAATCCAAGCAAATTATATAAAATTCTCCCCTTAATAAGTTATCTTTCTAATAAATTTAACACAGTGTACAAACCACAATAGAAGCTTTCTTTAGATAAAGCCATGGTACCATATCGTGGAAGTCTGTTCTTTAGGGTTTATAATCCGAGTAAAATAACAAAGTATTGAATATTAGACAGCGTCTTGTCTGAGAAAAGTACTGGATATGCCTGCAACTCTCAGCTGTATTCTGGAAAAGGAGACAATTTAGGAGAAATTATTTCACTTCTTTTAAATAAAAACGAAGACTTACGGCACCATATATACACGGACAATTACTATAATAGTATCATATTAGGTGAAAATTTATTAAACAAGAAAATTCGTCTTTGTAGTACTATACGTAGGAATAGTTGCTTTTCAAAGGAACTAAATGATCTCGTATTGAAAATAAATAATTTTCAGTGCAAAGGAGAGGTACCAGTTTTCAAATGGAAAGATAAACGACATGTTCGAATGATATTCACCATACACAATGCCGATATCTTTGAGACTAAAGAAATAAATATAAAAAACTGGAAGGCAAGTTTCTAAGCCTGAGTGCATAATAAAATACAATCAACATATGAAATGTGTTGATCTTGCTGATGAATATCTTTCATATTATAAATTGTTGCCAACATATATCGAATGGATGAAAAGAGTTTTCTTGTTTCTTTTACATTGCACACACTTCGCTTAATTTATTTCATTTATTTTGTATCATAGAATCAATACAAATATCAAAATTAATTTTTCGAAATTCTAAGCAAACTCTGCCAGAAGAATGGATTGCTTCTGCTACTGAACATCATGATTCTAAAAATTTACCAAGTAACAGCTCAACAGCAGTAAGTCGAGCACCTCACCATAATCTTCCATATACGCTTTCAGATGATACATCAACACACCAGTTCAAAAGAATCGTACAATCGGAAAGTCAAAGTATCCCCGCAAATATTGTAGAATCTGCAAAATTCGTGGAAAACGTTATGATACTTCATATATATGCAAATTATGCAAAGTTCCCATATGCAAAATTCGTTGTTTTGTGATTTCTCACACTAAACAGAAATACTAAATTTTATTTTTCATCTCTGTAATCCTAAAGTACATGTAACATAATACTAAATAAGCTAAGCAAAATAATATCAAGCGGTCTATTATCTACCTTAAAACTAAGTAAACAATTTATGAAAATATTTTTATTTTTAACTAGCCACTAAGCGGCCAGCCTTCGTCTGGCTTTTAAATGTACCGGAAAATGCCTCAAGGGAAAATCAAACATTAAATTTAAAAACTGCACAGAATTTTACTCTGCACAACAATTTTATCCAAAAAAAAATATTTAAAAATGTATTACTTATAAAAAAATTATAATGAAATAAGCAATATCCCTTAATATAAATATTAATTAAAAATTTAGTGGCGTAAAAGCCCTAGTGAGCCAAGGCCTGCAGTGCCCGAAATCTGCTTTATTGACAGTGGGCCCCGGGGTGCGTGAGCATATGCCCTGAACAAGTGGTGAGCTTATCATAGGACCCCCAGTGCTTAGTCCCCAAGCGAACTTAGTACTCATTTTATCGACCCAAGTAGTGGAAATCAAGGGATGAAAGGCTGAGTCGACCTTGCCCAGCCCGGAGATCGAACCCCGGACCTGTGGTGCTGCTACGCGATGCGCTAGCCACTGCGCCACTGGGTTTTATAAATATTAATTATTCTAATAAATAAATTAACCAACTTCCTGCTGCCTTTTCTCGACATGTCGAGTATCCAAGTGAAACATTAAATTTAAAAACTGCAGAGAATTATCGCCCTCATTTTTCCGAGTGGCAACAATGCTGATATCAGCAACAATGGCAACAGTGATATATCAGCAACAATGGCAACAGCGATATATCAGCAACAATTGCTGCGTGCGTTTGTTGTTGATATAATGAGAGAGAATTGTCGATTTGTTGCGATTTCATCAAAAAACATAAAATGAAAAAAAAAATCTCATTCGAATTTTGAAACAATCGCTTCGAAGTGCACTGGCTCTTGTCTAGTACCGAATTTCGTAGCTTTGGGTCTATTAGATTACGTGCATCACGAAAGAAAGACACAAACGCGCAGACTCTTCCTTTTATTATATGTAGCGACAACACACATTTACAACACTGTTATTTCAAATCATATTTTATAATTTTTATCTTCTCCCTAACAATACAAGTTTGTGTCAAACAGCTTCAGAATTTCATAACTTTTGCCCGTATTCAGTATTAGAAACGTAAAAAAGCTTCCGGTCGCGAATGTGTTAATAATTTATTTCAATATGAAGTTCCTCATAAACAATAACAATTACTTAACAAATATTGAAAAATGTGCTTAACTGTAAAACGTGAAATCATATAAATGTTTCTTTCATACATTTTATTAAAAGACAAGCTTTCATTTCAGATATTTGTTTAGATTCAAGTGTTTGTCCTCAAGTAACTCAAGGCCATCACGTATCTGTCCAGAGTGTGCCAACATCCAACGTTTCGTACAATGCCTACCCACAAATACAAGTGTCTGGGACTGGAAATGTTGCTGGAGCAGGAGGAGTATTTTACACAAGTGACTTCAGTGCTCCTCCATCTGCAGGTCAAACCCACAGTACTGTTTTTCCAACAGCTATGAGTGTAAATTTGTCTATGAATATGACTATGGGAGTACCAAATTTTGGGGATCATTTTGTTGGCACTGCTACTTCATCTGTTCCTGCAAATCATGTTCAATGGACAGCTGCAGTACCACCTACACAATATGGAACGAATGGAGCTTCAACGATGGTTCCTGGCTATGGACAACCAGTGCAAGTAATTTTTGTTTCATACTGTCTTTCAACATTCTGGAGCTTCAGGCACTTGCAAAACCTAAATAAAAACAAACAAAAGAAAAGTAACTTTAACTTCATGTATAAACAATGCATAAAGACATACTTTATGTAAACTGTGAATGAAACACATCAACAATTCAGTCACATCGCAAACTTTACTACTTGATTTTATCTGAAAACGAAAGCTAATTTCCAGTGAGAATCCGAAATATAAATGCTGAAGAAATTAGCTTTTCATAAAACTTTTATTATTGTAACTATTTGACAGAGATTACATTTTTTCATCTGATCTGTTGCATATTCTGATTACTTTTAAATTTGAAACCTCAGTTTAGGTTTAAATAAATCTAAGTTAATTTTTTTTATAAATTTTGCTTATTTAAACTTTAATTCACTTAAACTCGTTAAATGCAGATGTAAGGGCTTGAGAGTTACACAGGGTTAGAGTCTCACTATTTCATTCTTAAAAATCATCACTTCGCAAAAGCAATTTTTGTATGTTAATTAATCGGACTAGAGACAGGTAAGACACTTTTCGGCAAAAGGGTTTATAGAGAAATAATATTTTTGGAAAGATTAAGGAAAGTTTAGATAATTGAAATGCAAAAGGAAAAATAAATTGCATTAATAGAAACAAATGTGAAATATGCCCAAGTAAATAAATTTTCAGGGAAATGCATCCTTTTTAGTAGAGCTGATGCATAATAAATAGATTCTTAGGAACTAAATTCTTAGGATTCTTGGCTGTGTACCAAAACTGAACCTATATTCAATATTAAAGAATCAAGTGTCAGTAGAACTATACAAAGCTGTGACTTCCTATGTTATTATCTTAAATTCTTCATTTTCTGGATCACAGCAAGTGAAGAAATCATATTTATACTTGGACCAAACCAAGGTGTTCAATAACATTTAAGTCGGATAATTTTTGTTATCTACTTCTTTCTAAACGTTTTGTAATGCAGAGTGAACTGTATCCAGTATAAAGCTTTAGACAAGTGGAGTGAACTATCTCCAGCATAAAGCTTTAGACAAGGGAGGATTTGAGTGAGCAAATAATTGGATTGCTTATTGCAAAGCATACTAATATTACTCCACTGCAATTCTAATTGAAGAGCCTTGAGGCTGGAATTTGACGATCAAATACTCTCTTGCTTTGTAAATAACTGCTCGAAATGACTTAGAATGAAACGAAGACAAGAAATGAGTCAGAATATGCTTCACTGAATTAGCCATCACTAACTGCATACCAGGGCCACATCAACGAGATAGAAAGATTATGGATAATGCAGATCCAGATAAAAGAACTAATTTTTCCATATAAATCAATCGAAGATTCGAAGGGATATAGAATAAAGTAGCAGTGTAATCTAGAAATTCGATTCTTCATTTTTGATTCTAAATAAACGACAATTGCTTTTTCTCGAAATAACGATTTAATTTGGATTATTTTGCGACAGGACAGTTCTTCGCAGCAGAATTCGATGTACATAAAATACAATTTAATTATAACGCAGTTTCATAATCAAATCAGTTAGCTGAGTTTTGTAAAATAAGAGAAATAGATAGCCAAATTTTATAGGTTAAACTTCCTTTTATATAATCCAAATAAAACAGTTTTAAGCAAAACGTTTCCTCTCTGAAATTGAAAAGAAGTCTGTCATTAGTAGCTACACTAGCTTCTATGAAGCAGTGGGAAAATGGATACGAGTTTTCGAATGTCAAATTCTGGAAGTTCTGTATCGTCTTCCTCATAAAAATTTTATCAATTCAGACGCTTATAAATTCTTTATAGAGAACTTTCCAGTGTTTAACATCTAGCAAGTTACTATCATTTTGTCAGTTTGTCATAGACGTTATAATACAGTTTTCCAGTTTACTAGCTTTCTGGGAAGGTCCTTTTCACTTAAAAGTTCCCCGTTTATAAATTCTCAACTGTTTTAAAGTTCGATTTATGAGCATTTCATATTGTTTGTTAAGTATTTTTTTTTTCAGTTTTCTGTTTTGCAAAGATATGGGCTAACAAATTCCAAGCTCGGTCATTTGAACGACATTTATTCTAAATACTTGTAATAGTAATAAAACATCTTCATGACATTATTTTATAATTTCTGTACCATTGGATAGCAATGTAATTAAATTATCAGTTATAAATTTAAATTGCATGCGTTTCAAAATCCTTCAAAATCAAAGTTTAATAAAAAGTTAAATTTATAAAGCTGTCTTCCTTTCTTGTCTAAAAATGAAAGCTGTATTTTATATTATTTAATCGTTCCTCCTCCCCCCCGAAAGTTGGATAAAGCATGCTCCGCAACTCCCCAAAGGAGCAGAAACACTCTTTCTAGAATAAATGGATCCATGCACCTTCATTCTTACATATGTTAATACATTACGCTAAACATTCGAAATCCGTTATATCACGAACTTTTGGACAACAATGTGAATCGTCGTATTTTCAAGTTCTTAGTGGTAACATCTAGACATGTATGTTGCCAGTAAATTGCTGAATAAAATCATAATTCTGGCTGTTTAATGAAATTCTTGTTGAATTCTGCCTTCAATATATGGATATCCGAATTGAATATAAGATTTATTTTGTTAAAAATAAAGTATATTTTTTCGAATAATTCCTTTACTTGGAAGCCATAAAGCTAAAATAGCAAAATTTACTTATTACTACGTTATAGTAGTTTGAGTTGTCTAAAATCTTAAGTTTTCATATTTACATATTTCATTTACGCAACCTTTTTATACCATTTGCACACCTAACTATAGTTGTTGTTATATTTCCATTCGATAGTATAAAAACGGCATTAATGTCGTCTAGATATTTCTAAAAAAAATTCTAACTTGAGAATGCTCATGGAAGTTTCGCGAATTTTTTAGTGAGTTCATGCATTTATGAACACATATGTCCTAGCAGATCGAAAATAACATTATCATGGGCTATCACAGCTGAACTATAGACAGATGAAGAAGATGAAATTCTGGTAAGTATTACTCTCAAGGATCATATAAAACTTTTACCTCGATCAGAGCTTAGACGTAGGAGCATTCGATTTATCTTACGCAATGAAGGCCCTTTCCCCCCTTTTTTTTAGTACAATAAACTCTTGCAAGCGAGGATGATGGGAAATCGTTGTTGTTGTCGTTGCTAATGCTCACTTATCTGACCAATAGTCAACCCAAACCAAATAGAAGCGCAAGTTTATGCCTGTCGTTGTCAACAGCCATCTTACAAGTGACAGTGAAATTTAGCTCAGTTCCGCTCTCAGTTTTGATGGAGAGCACCGGGGGGGGACGGGTCCGAGAGTCTCCCACCCCCTCTTCCCCTACAACAACCTCTCGAGAGAACTTTCGGCTCGCCTCATATTTAGAGTGCCCCCATGACGCATGGACACTGTAGATTTACAAACATCCATGCCTTCTGCGGGATTCAAACCCGGGGCCTCCGGCACGACAGTCAGCGAAGCTAACCACTATACTGTTTGGGAGGCTAGGAAATCGATTTCGCATATACGCTTTATCTTAACCGTCTCCATTTAATTTTTTGAACTTTAGAATTTTATCGTACGCAGTTCAAAGCTCATTCATCAACACATAATGCTTATTGTCATCACCACTGGCCAGAAGTTATCAACAGTTTTAAAAGATTTCTGTACATTGTATTTGAAGCCAAAGGAATCGTCCAAATTTCAAAAGCAACTGGCGCCAATGAATTTTCAGATATGGAAGAAGAAGGTCAAAGAATTAATTGAGAATTGATGAATGAAGAACCAGATGATCTTCTAACACCAGCGGACAGTGAAAGCAGTGACAACGAAGAAGAAAATAAGCTACTTTGATGAATTTATGAGAAGTTAAAACGAATTGTTAAAAAAGGCACTGTAGCTATCTGATTTTGCAGAGGAAATTTATACAAATGAAGAAAGTAGATGATACTTGATGAGAATCATTGAAAAACTATGCTCACCTAGCTTCAACATTTTTAAAGAGTTGCGGCAGTCATTGTCCAAAGCAAAATTCACCAGTTTAAAAAAAATAATTATATCACGTACTTACTAAGCAGTAATAAAAATCCTTTCAATGAACATTTATTTCGTGTTTTCTTTTTAATTACAACAATATCTAGGTTTCCTTAATCTGAATTATTATAGTTTCTTAATCTGAATTATAACTAACGCATTTTTTTCCATCGAAAGTTAATTTTGAGGAATGCGATTTTGCTGTTTTGCAATGCATTAAAGACGTAACCCCGCGTTTGACAAAGGTTTACTTTATACCTAAACTATGGCCTTTTGTTCTCAATCTTTTTTTCCTTAGCAGTTCCAATTTTTTTAGAGTGTTCGCCTTTTCGCCTTCTTTAGCAAAGAAAATAACTAAACCACACTTGTTGTTTCTATCTAATATTTAAGGAATACACTGATCAACACAATCCAGTGCCTCAAACGCTACAGTTTTTGCACATATTTATGTCATTAATATCAATGTTATCAGTTGTAATTATAGATATATAACATAACCACCTCGTACGCTGATTGTCGATTACTATGTCAAACTTCAATTAACGAAAAGTAAAATAGAAATAAACTTAAGGAACTTATATTTGTATGTAGTTAACCAAATCCAAGAATGCGTTAAATGAAAGATTTAATTACATGTGACTGTATGCTTATTTATATGCATTATATAATACAGGGGGGATTCAAAACTAGAGGGAAAAATCTTCTAGGAGGTGTATGATATACCTAGAAAACTGGGAATCCCATAAGAATACAGTGTAAGAAATGCAACCCTAGCGCGATAAAGGGTTTGATAGGGGCTGTCGCAGGAAAACCGTTGATAGTCACCTGCAAAGGTATTAGGATGGAAAGTATGAATAGATCGTGATGGCAAATTAACATTTAAAGACCATAAACTTAAAATAAGTCATGTCGTTCCTGATAAGGAAGTTGTACGAAGTTTCACATCGCGGGCACAGCATGGAATCTCGGACATTTTGAGATAACGTCGAGCGAAGTAACTAAATAACGTTTGGGCATTCGTCGAACGTTCGCGGTAGCTACGAAAATGCGCCATTTTAAAATTCCCAATGCATACATATCAAAACGTCCGAGATTCCATGCTTTGTGCCACGTTACGAAATGTCGGGAACATTCATCATTAGGAAAGTCAAAATTTACTTGTTATGGTCTTTAAATGTCGGTTTGTGATCACGATGAATTCCAACAACTTTTTCTCCTTACTACCTGTGAACAGTTGGAGAATAAGCAAAGATGCAGGAATGGCATTCCAATAACAAGTGGAAAGACCCTGTAGCAGTAATTTACTATACGTGTGCACTTTCAGTTTCATAAGTGCTCAAAGTTTCGACCATTCACCGTTATTCAGGCTTCACAACGCCGACGCATGGACTGCCGAATCCTTTCAAAATGCCCGGCATGAAGCGTACTTTTTTAGCTGCCACTTAAGAATTTTGAGACAAGGTCGATGTTACAATCAACGGACGTCTCGTAATACATGGCTTTCAGGGCCTCCCATAAGAACAAAATCTTGGCTAGATAATTCGGATGATCATGGAAGCCATGGTACGGTTCATCCACGACCAATCCACTGCTGCGCAAACGTATTGTTCAAGTAATTCCCTACGGCATAAGCAAAATCAGCAGCAGCCCCATCGTGCTGGTACCACCTTGCACACTTAATTGACGTAGGAACATTGTTCAGTAATTTGTGGCAGTACCTCTTCCGGAAAAATGCTATATTTTCGACCACGCAATAGGAGTGGTAAGAGATAGGGCTCGACTAATCAATCATCAATAATACACGCTCATACATTCACTGAAAAGCATCAGTAGGCTGCATGAATGTGAATACTTCGTGGATTGTCGTAGCTCCACACATGAATATTTTGTTAATCGAAGATCTCATCAATAAAGAAAATGGGTTCATGGGTGAAGAGAATGCAAGATGGAAACGATGTGTTCTGGTAACATTTGTCCACGGACCAGAGAAAGTATTCCATGAGTGGAGGATTACCCTCAGTTTGTGATGACTGGACCAGTTGCAAATGATATAGATGTAAACGCTGCCTGTATAATGTGCATCATACATTGGACTGAGAGGCTGCAAAATCACGGATAATGGTTCGTGTGCCTGAACCGAGAGTTTCTTGTACTCGACGCAATATCTCGTCTTCTAAGGCAGGTATACGTGTCATTCGTGGCCGCTCTATATCATGCTTGCTCTATCAGAATGTCCCATATTCACACAGGTTACATTGCAAATTAGCAAATATTCAGTAATTCGGTGCACGCCTATTCGGGTACCTTTGGTATGCAACCGAGCCGCAGCCCTTCCGTTGCAATGAATTTTATTATACACAATATGCATGTTCTCTATTTCCATATTCGTAAATTGTTCCATACTCTTCGCATGCAATAGAAACTTTTAATGACTAACGCTGCATCCCAACTACAGCTGTGATAAAGTGTCATCAAGCAGATAACAAGCGCTCTTAAACGTAGATGGCAAGAACCTGGCACGTAGCCAGGAAACATTGGGCAGCTTCATTATCGGGAAAGTCATTACTTATTTAAGCTTATGGTATAAGTATATTCATCCTAATAACTCTGTGGCTGGCTGTCGAAGATTTTCCTGAGACAGCCCTTAATATCCCCTTATTTCCTTAGGATTGCATTTTCGATCCTTCATTGCTTTGGGATTCTTAGTCGTGTAAGTGTACTCATCCCTCCTAGAAAGTTGATCCTCTATTTTTGAATCCCCCCTGTTTAAACATTCAGTATTTAATTACAAGTATTACGTAATGTAAAACAGTTATATGGTGGTGAAATTGAACATTTTTTTATTTATAATCTAATAAAATTAATGCCATTTCAAATCCAATCTTACTTAAAATTGAGCAGTTGTTAAACGCATATAAACGCTTTCTTTATGACATTACACAGATTGCAATTGACCAGGAGAGTTTCAGTCAAGACTCTAGCAATAATTTATTCTAATGCTGATGATTCATATTCCTTAGAGTCTGTCTTCTATAAGATTTATGTTCCTGTGAATCTTTCTGCTTAACTTAAAGTTCTAAGTTTTTTGGAAAATTACCTAAATGATTGCAGAAGTAATGAGCCTTAGTATTTATAGCTGAGCTTAATGGCATGCAAAACGGACTGTTTTCTAATATCGAGCACTACTCTGACTTATATTTGCCGAGAAGGATTTTGAACAAATGACGACCACACAGGAAATGAAACCGCATTCCTTGATTTTATAAAATTGTAAGTTGTTTTATTCAGTAAACTTTAAGGCTCCTGCTGTCCGATTTTGTTCGCTTAAATCATGGAAATTGCTTACCAAATAACTGAAGTACTCACAATCTTTAATCAATGCTGTCACAAACTGCTTCATGAATAGTGTAATGATGGCTGGATGATTTTTGTTTTGGATAGCTAAGCTGCATTTGACTAGTTGAATTTTGCTCTTCAGCTGTCATATCATTTCATGAATAGCACTCATTTCAAATCCCGGAAAATTTTTTTTTTTCACTGCCGTCTGAAAGACGTAAAAAGCATTCCCTTTTATGAATCTACTTTGTTAAGTAAGAACGAATCTTCTCATATTTTGTAAATAGCATCCTACATTTTTTTCATACTAATAAAAATTATCGATTGTAGTAAGCCTAATTTTTTGCCTCTGAGTTTTAAAAAATGAAATATTTTAAATCCACTTGGAACTATTATGTTGGGGTTACAGTTGGTACATGTATTATCATCTAAGATGGTTAGGCAGTATTTCTAAAATTAAAACATCGAACAAACCGATGTCCTTTTTGAAATCTTCATTCCCTATGTAGCCAAAAATAATTTCCAATGTATCAGAAGAAAAACGTTTTTTGTGGACTAGCGATATTCATTTACACTCCCATATGTATAAGAACAGTCCCATGTGTTGTCCGCACTGTAACATAGAGGGCCATAAGTTAACGAGTTGAACTATAAGACACGTTTTATATTAATTTCCCCAAGCAATCAGATCAAAATACTTAGAGAAATATCTAGTGGAAGTAAAATTCACTAATATTTCAACTTGATTAATGAAATCAAGATACTTTTTCTGAGTGATGTAAAGAAAGGATTATATTATATTTCTTTGAATAATGCAATTCAGCAAAGCAGTTTCAAATTTCAGACTGCTCAACTTTCATGCCAAATTTAACACAAATTAGATATTAGGACTATTTGCTTTGATTACCTTCACTAATTGTTTTATAAAATAACTTTTACCAATACTTTTTGTCTTTCGCACTTATAATGCGTGCATCTTTAAAAGTGAATTATAAATTCTTAGAAGCGGCACTTTTTAGTGCCATCCTTTTTACTACTGCTTAATTATTTTATACTTTGTTGCGAAAGAGTGTTTCCCCATTTATTTAATGTCTTCATATTTCTTACAGATGCAATACAATGCTCCATCACCTACACATGCTTCAGGAGGAGCAGCTGGAACTTATACATTCACTGCCGAATTTAGACCGGCGGATTCCTTGTCTCTTCCATCGATAGAAAGGGAATTTTCTTCTTGCAGTACGAGCTTAAAAGCAATGCCAGGAGCATTCTACCCATGCAAACATGCAACCGTAGCAGTTCCCGTGGAGTCCAATCAACCCGGTCTTCCTGTGATGTTTAAACCAAAGCCAAGATCCATACCCACAGGTCGTGCTGCTTGTTTTCCAGCTGGTATAGTGTCAGAAACATCGCCAACGCAATCGACGACGGTGTTGGATTCGGACACTAATAATAACGATTCCAATTCTTCAGGAAAATTGAATCTTTGTAGAATATGTGGAAAAACTTACGCACGACCAAGTACTCTCAAAACGCACATGAGGACTCATTCCGGAGAGCGCCCATACAAGTGTGGAACTTGTCATAAGTCATTTTCCCAAGCTGCTAACTTAACTGCTCATATACGCACTCACAGTGGAGAGAAACCTTTTCGGTGCCACGTATGTGACAGGAGATTTTCTCAAAGTTCTTCAGTTACTACGCATATGAGGACGCATTCCGGGGAACGTCCTTATCGTTGCTATATGTGCAAAAAATCATTCTCTGACAGCTCAACTTTAACTAAACATCTAAGGATCCACAGCGGTGAAAAACCTTACCAATGCAAATTATGCTTGCTTCGTTTTTCACAAAGCGGAAATCTTAATCGACATATGAGAGTTCATGCTGGTTCAGTCTGATATACAGGTATTTCTTAATAATAAAAAGTACAGAAAATGGAAGTGTAATTTACCATCTTTGAAATGCCAATGGTTTAAGTACACCAGCATTCAGAAGTTAATCATCGTTAGCACAGTATTAAAAGATTGCGCGAATTTACAGAACGAGTGTCAAACTATACGCAGGATTAAAATAAATATTCACAAAAGTTTCTTTCGTTCGTGTTGGTGGAAGTTAAAAACGAAAAGCATCTTCTGGGAGATTAATTAAGATGCCTGAAATACAAATTTCCTGCTTCAGAGTTTCTGAATAGTTATAGCACTATAATTCATTTTCTAATGCAAGGCAGCATTGAGCTCTACTAAGCTGGGTAATTAAAGTAATTCCTGGGCACCTCTATATCCAACGAAATTTCTTATAGAAGCAAGTGTCTATTGATAAGGATTAATATTCTAAAGATTAGATAGCAAGAGAAATTAAGCCACGTGTATCTTAACCTCTTATAGTATGCGCTTAAATTTCCCCATTAACTGACCGCACGACGAAACTTCAAAGAATATCTTAATCACCAGGAAAAGTCACACAGGCCTCTTAGATAACGTTTTGGTTTGAAAATAAATCATTAAAATAAATAAAGGTGTGCCATGTGCCTCATATATTTAAAGCTAATCCATTTCAAAGAATTAATTCGTGTGACTCGGATTAATTAAAAAGTGTATTCCCCGTTCTTTCAGATGAAAGCCGTATAACTACCAATAAGTTGTTCAGTTGTCATATTACTAATTTGACATAGAGTACTAAACAGCTATATCTGTCTTCATACTTTTGGTTCCTTCTAACATTTCTCAATACGACCAGTTTCAGTAGAACGCCTGTGTATAAGTTTGAAGTACTCGTAGTTTCTCATTGTATATATCATTCTCATTATTTAAAGAATACCAAATAAACCTAAGGCCTTAATGAAAGGTTATTTGCTTTTGTATATAAGGGGCTTCTATTGGACTCAAGAAGCAACAACTTAATGATGTCCCGAATTATATAAATATGTAAATATATACTATAATATGAAAATGAAAATTTGTGAGCAATACTATTTTCTTTACAGTGATATTTCAAAGAACTAAATTTCATTCTACAGTTGTACAAAATGTAAAACTTTTAATTAAATTAATAATTTGTTTAATCAATAAAGAAAGAGAAAATCCTTAATTTTTTTTACTAATTCTCAATTTGTGTGTGAGTGTGAATTTGTTTGTCTCTTTATGATTTGAAACATGTAAATTCAAACATAATAAATAACTGTGAAACTTTCGAATCCTCCCAAGAACTCAAAAATTTCTCGAAAAATGGAAAAACTCGAATCTTCATGACTTCTCATAGCTCAATTTTTTTAATTCTAATTTTAAAATCTATTAAAATTTCAACTCAAAATTTTGGAAAGCTCAAATTATTTTACCCCCAGCAGAAGCGTTCATAAAAATAAAGAACGGGATTGTTGCAGTTTCCTTAAATCTGAATAATCAGTATAACTTCATGGCAGCCCTAAATGCCATATTCTTAATTAATTTTCTGGAGGGAATTTTGCTTTCCATGTTTAGTGGTTATGTATGGTAACTCTTGAAGCAATCCTTCCCTTTCTGCACTAGCTTCGATTTTAATTCTTGGAAATGTTAAAATTCGAAATATTATTGCAAAAACACATTTTTTGGGGGTTAAAGTACATTGAGATTCGATACGTCTGAGACACTTTAATATTCTCATTCGAAAAAAATTTAGGATCCGTATCATCTCTAGTTACAACACATAAATATATAAATAATGATGCTGAAAATTTTATAGGGAAATTACAAAATATAAAAATACATTTTATTGTTTTAGAAAATGTAAAGCTTTTAAATAAATTAAACTATTTGTTTAATCAATAAAAAAAGAAAAAGGTTAATGGGGTTTTATTTATAAATTTTCAGCTTGCATGTAAACTATTTGCTACTGAAATAAATATGAAGAACGTTACTGTTTCTTTCCCTGAGAGATATGAAAGTTTTTTTCATTTCAGTTTGAAACAATACATTAAAAAAAGAAACATGGAAGAAAAAACGCTGCAACGAATTTGGGACATATAGACGTACAAATCCTGTGTTTCAATGCGTAACGATATACATGTACTTGGTTATAGTTGAACATTGTTGCACTTAATCGTTTCGTTATATCCGAAGATATTACAACCTTTCCCATTATTGTTTGTGAAAATTATAATTTAAGTTCGGTAAGGAACTCTTAGCCCAAGAAACTCGCTCGAACTTGAAGGAGAGGAATTAGTGTCATACTAAGGCTATATTTAACTCTTGAAATTTTAAATGGTGCTTTCCCTAAACTTGTTCGCTAGCTTTTTTAGCGATAAATGCATAGATACTGAATTTTGTTTTTTAAAAAATGAGTGATTTTTGTTCCCTTTCAAGGATTCATTACGTCTGCGTGAGTTTCTTGTGCTTAAAGTTTCAGCAGTGTAAAATGGGCCTTAACATTTAACTCATATTTCTTTCCTTTATACCTTGTTTTTCATCACGTGCTCCCTCATACCAGAGGGTTATGCAAATTATACGGCAAGCAGCGTAGATTCTAACAGATGTAAAATCTAAACTGGCATTAATTGAGTAGAATCCTCACCACCATATTGCTGCTTGTGTAATGAACCGCCCGTAAGAACAGAAGTTTGAACGCTGACGTAAGCCAAGTTCGTTAGTAAGAAACAGGAATCTCCCAATTTTTTTCTTCTTTGACCTTAGAGGAAATTCTAGAATACCGGTGAGGCGGTTGGCACATTTATTTTGTGAAAGTAAATGTGTAGGAAGACATACTTAGTTGTACACTTAATATGCTAAAAAATTATTCCAAAAAAATTATTGATTGTATTCTTACGTAAAATAAATAATTATTAAATAATACAGAAAAATTTACAAAATTATTTTGTTCGCAATCCATTGGCATAATTTTTTAAATAAAATATGTAATTCTAAAGTCAGTGAGATATTTAGCATTTCATTTCATAGGAAATTGTTTCATAACCAGGAGGTTATGATGATATTTCTTCTCATAAACAATCATTAGGTTGTCCATTTATATTTTGATTTGTTATATTCATTGTTGAAAACAAGCAATTTACGCAAGTACGGGGGCCTAAAAACTATTTTGTCTGGTATGATGTTCTTTACGAGAAAGGTGTGGTGTATTGGTGTATTTAATTATGGCAAAGCACACGAGGGCCATCTGCCTAAAGGGAGGGATGCCTTTCGTGGAGGACTTTCTAAGGGAAACTGGCTCGTATACACGTTACACATGGGGAAAACCACGAAAACGCCCATGCAGCCAGCCCGTTCGCGGGATTCGAACCTCAGACCGAACTACCAGTGTTCAGCGTCTTTACCGCTCGGCCGCTGGTGGGCTCTTTACGAGAAAGGAAATTTACTTTTGTTAACTATATTCCAGAAATTTTCATCTGATACGTTGGATTTTAGGACAATGTCATTTGGAAGATCCAGAATTTCTAGCCCCAGTTCTTCCATTCTTGCTTGAATAAACTGTCCAATGTATGCAGCTAGTATTTCGGTTGCAATTACTTAGTAAGTAAAGAGGTTGATCATAAAGGTGACCATTGACTCGATAACATAACTGCTTTCTAAGGGAAACGGGCTCGTATACACTTTATGGCTCGCATACTTAAACTAGCTCGTATACAAAAAGGGGAAAACGCCCATGTAGAAAGGCCGAAAATACCAGTGTCGAACCCAGGTCGAAAATACCAGTGTTCAATGATTTTAACGCTCGGCCGCTGTTGGTCTTTTCAAATTGGTCTTAAAATAACTGAAGGTTGATAAAAAACGAAGGCCAGTTTAATTCAACTTCGCCTATCATTTCTTTTATATTTTAGAAATGCATAAGTGACTTCATTTGCAGATATGATATACAAGAAACCAGTTTATGTTTAAAGGACTTAACAAACTCCATCATTAAAGCTATATGATTGTCATTTCCCTGCAGCTCCAAGTTTGAATAATTCAATTTCTCAGTTATGTCTGTGAGAAAGCTCAAACCCATTAGCCAGCGAAAGTCCGTTACTTTAGCAAAATTTGATTTTTATTCTTGAGTTAATTTTTTTCTTCTCCAATTAAATTTATGAATCTTGTAAGAACTTTGTCTTTTCTGAGCCTATAAGGTATTTCTCCCTCCTTCTTAGCATGCCTTCGTGGTGTAGTGTAGTGGTCAGCATACTCGGCGCGTATTCGAGAGGTCCGTGGTTCAAGTCCCGGCGAGGGCATTGCTAATTTTTCATGTCTCCTGTTTCGAAACAACCTAATGTCTCTACAAGCCAACGTACTAGAGTATGCATAATGAGATCAGGATTTTCAAGTAGGACCTTGAGAATGTGATGTTGCAAAGGGGCTGCTTGAATAAAGTTTACTATTTGTAAGTATTTTCATGATGTTTCTAAAGGGCAATATTCTATGACACAGAGCTTCCTAATGGATAATAAGTAATACGAGATAAAGTTTAGAAATGATTTATCTTTCTTACACACGCCAATAAATACATTAATATTACCAACCGTTGCTGGTGTCCCATCAGTGGTTAGCTCCGATAACTTGTGCAGATGCATATGCTATGAATACAGTGTGTCCACAATTTAAAGAACCCTATTTCAAACCTGCCTACTGTCGAAGATGAGATACTCGAGATACCACAGGACGACTGCCTGAATCCGTATTGCCGATCATCGCAAAATTAAGATGAAGCGATCAATTATTATTCATTGGAACGGACGTGTCGTTTTTCAATGTCCTGTGAGTAATATTAATAATGCTCAAACTGATATACCGAACTGATTCTCACAAAAAGAATTATTTCAACTGCGGATCTTCCCTTTAAGGTGTGACTATGACCACTGCAACGTGGTATGATTTCATGAACAAATTACCAAAATTTAATTTCAAGTATTCCAAAGAATTCTTCGTAGCCAACAGTCAGTTGGCGGTATTTTCCGAGAACGTACAATGTGTTCTTCAACAAATTTTAAAAGCACCTATGGTGGTTCCCACTTAGTGTCAGATCATTTGGAATTAGAGGAACTTCTACAAAATTTCAGATTTATACAGTGAAATGATGAAGAGCATCCAAACTGCTCTATTTCAAAATGTGTTACTGCAAAAGACAAGAAAACGGCGTTCGAGATGCAGATGGAACATTTAACTAACAAGCAATGTATGCAGAAAATTAACTACTTTATTTACGTATTTAACAACGTATTTAACGACTATCATGAGGCATTTATCTGTCAGGAATGTGCAGTCGATCATTCAATTTAGCACCACCACCCCTGCATAATGAAGAGACTCGATAAAAAGCTATTGATAATACTGAAAAAGCAATATTGTATTGTCAGTGACTTTTTAAATACTATTTCATTGTCACCTTTACTAGAACAAATAGAAAATTGGTGAGAAAAAAATTATTTTAGTAAGTGTGTATTTGAACTAAAAAAGTTGATTTATATCGAAATGTATCTTTATTTATCTGTCGACTGTTTTTTACTTAAATGGAAATCTCTTTACCTTACTCTTACGTCCTAAGCCTTAATAAATTAACATAAGAACACGAATTTTTACAGTATACTGCTTAGTGTGAACTGGCGCACGCGGCAAGCGTTTTTTTACGCTTTGACGCTCGACGTCCCAACGGACCAGTGTGAACGCCGCTTAAATCTGAAGCAGATAAGAAGCTGTTATAACTCATTTCCAGGTAAATAGATTGCTTTTCCTGAAACTTATTAGGAATTCTGTGTAAATAACTTAAATTCGGTAACGTTGTATCCTCATTTTGGTAAAACAGTAAATATTCTACAGTGGAAGATGCTTATTTCGCATTAAGTTCTAAATATTATGTGAACAAAATAGTTCTAAGTACTGAGGTAACGTAGGAAAATCTGAATGCATTACATAGTCTTTGGAATTTTTATCTTGGAAGAAAGTAATATTTGGCAGTGTTAATTAAATTACATTTCTCGAAAAACGCACGGAACGTTCTTTTAATGCAAACTTATACCTAGGATTATGAGAAAACGCAACATTGTTTGAGTGTATCCCTCATTAAATGGGTATTAGTAAGGAATATTTAACTGACATAAT